GTTCAACGTTGATTGCCCCTGGCGACCCAGAATCGGTCGATGTTGAACGATCGGAGGTTTCGGAAACGGCCGAACGTTCATGGTTGAACGATCCCCGCGGTGTCAGAAACCGACGTTGGAGTCGGCACGACACGAACCTGTCGTAGCCTCTGGCCCATCCCGCCACCGCGCCTGAGTTGTAGGTCGGGGGCCTCTGGATGCCTGTGGGGATCTCTGGGGAGGCCTCTTAGGTGCCTCGTGGAACCAGTTTTGGCGATGTCTGGGAGCCTCTTGAGGCCTGTTTCGCGTTTCTTGGGGGCCTCCCTGGGGCTTCGGGGGGGGCGCTAAGGGGGCAGGCTGGCGGCCTTAGGGTCATCGATGGGCGGAGGGCGCTGAATGTCAGTTCGAGTTCCTTCTCTTTAAATGTCAGTTCGAGTTCCCTCTCTTGGGTCCCTCTTGGTGCCGTCTTGTGGGCCTCTTCGGCCGTCTTGGGGTTCCTCTTGGGCCGTCTGGGGGCCGTCTCGGGGCGCACTTTGGGGCCTATTGGGCCGTTTTGGCACCAGAAACTAGGAAATTCGAGAAAGCTTAAATGTTTCAAACACGACAGGACAATTAATGAGTTCGGCCTCTTGGGGGGCCTCTTGGGTCCCTCTTCGAGCCATTTTTTAGGGCGTCTTGGGGACCTCGGGGCCATCTCGAGTTTCTTGGAGCGATCTTCAGACGACTTCGGGGCACTCTTGGGCCATCTTCGGGGTATCTTGGGGCCCTTTCTGGCCCGTCTTGGGGCCCCCTTGCCTCCAGAACAGTCGCGCGGGGACGCGCAATAACCCCCGGGAGCGCACGTGACCCTGGGCTGTGGGCCCCTTGCAGAGGACTCGAAAGGACCTGGGAACACTCCACTTCGTCCTCGAGGTTGAGAAAATCAATGTTTCTAGACCCTATCGAGGGTCGTTTCGGCATTCTCTTGGAGCCCTTTTGGCTCTTGGGAGCCTCTTGTGCCGTCTTCGTCTTGAGGCCATCTCCGGCCGTCTTGGGGTCCGCTTGGGCTCTCCCTGGGACCTTTCGGGCTGTCTTGGGGCGACCTTGGTTGTCTTGAGGCATTATGCAGCTGTGTCGAAATTTCTGGGGGCTGAAAAAGGGCGACAACAAAAACACAACCTAGTGGGTAATTTTCGGACGGTGCGCGCTGCGAAGAGGTGTGGTCGGCCGTAGAAATACTGAACAGTCTGACCTGTGGTCGCATCCTCAATGCATGCTGCAACAGCTACGTACATCACGCATGCAGTCGCACGCGCGCGCACGCGCTCTCGGGCGCACGTGCGATCTCGCGTACTTGAGCGCGCGCGTGCACACGCACACGGGCACGTCGACGCGCACGTGCAGATGCATGCGCACGTGCTCGCGCACTCGCATGCCTAGACGCGCACACATGTCCACCCAGTCGCGTTGATCTCTGTTTTGGCTCCAGTCGTCCGGTTGCCGCGCGTGCCGCGGCCTCAAAAGGAAGCCCGAACCTTGGGTCCCCGCGGGGCGTGTCACGCGCAGGCCCCCCAAAGTGGCTTTCACGCAAGGGGCTGCGTACCTCTGGAGGTGATCCTCCCTTGGCAGATCGTCCAGTAGGTAGATGTTGCCACCTGTTTGGAATCCGGGCGCTCCTCCTACTCTTCCTCACCCGAACAAACGCCCCTTGGGCTTCTCTAGGGGTGTGTTCTGTCCAGGATCTTGAGTGGAATCCAGGAGTCGCGACGAGATCCGCATGAGGGCCCAGCATGGCGAAAGCGACCTCGATCCTCGATTATCGACTCCCGATCTTTCTCTAGCGGTGGTCGAGTCCATCCTCGCTGCCGTGCTGGCGGCGCGCGCACGGGCGCTGATGTGCACTCGCGCGTCAATGCGCACTTGGGGACACGCGCACGGACGCGCGCGTCCGCACGCACCCCCACACGTACGTGAACGCGGTCGCGCAGGCTCACGCGGAAACGCACACTTATGTGCACAGGCACGTGTGCGCGTGTACACACGTACCCGCAGGCACGTTGGTATTGTTTCTGGCTCCAGCTGTCCGGTTGCCGAGCGTGCCGCTGCCTAAAAGGAAGCCTGAACCTTGAGCGCACGCGAGCCATGAGCGACGACGAGCCCACGTTCGAGACCACCGAGTCGGGATCCTCGCACACATACCCGCAGCAGTGTGGAGAGCTTCGCAAGGGCTCGATGGTGATGATCAAGGGGAAAGCCTGCAAGGTGGCCGAGATCTCCACGTCGAAGACGGGCAAGCACGGGCACGCGAAGGCCCACATCGTGGCGCTGGACATCTTCACGGGAAAGAAGTATGAGGACTTGTGCCCCACGTCGCACAACATGGAGATCCCTTTCACGAAGCGTACGGAGTACCAGCTTCTTTCTGCTGACGAGTCTACTGGCGAAGTCAGCCTGCTCCTGGAGTCTGGCGAGACGAAGGACGACCTGAATCTGCCCACGTTCGTGACGACGGGTGAGCCAACCGATGAAGACAAGAAGGTCCGATAACCAAAAGGATGTACCCGTAAATACCTGGACGTCCGCTGACGGCCACTCCGCTGGTCCCCCTCCCCGCACCCTGCGAAGTGCGTTCGGGGGCGGCGAAGAGGAGGAGGAGGTTCCTGCGCCCCGTCTGCGGACGTCCGCACGTTTATGTTCATTCTGGGTGGTTTCAGGGGCCTCTACCCACACTACCCTGTCAGACGGTCCGTTCCGCCCCCCCGCTCGCACCGAACCCATCCCGTGACGCGATCTACTCCCCACGCTTCTGGACCAGCGCGGAGTATTGGTTCGTTGCTCTCTGAAGGTGGTCGAAGACATCCTGAAGATGCAGGAGGACGGCGATTCCATCGTCGTCGCCGTGCTCTCGGCCATTGGGCAGGAAAAGATCGTCGGCGCGAAGAAGATGCAGTAATGTCGCTTGTGGTCGCGCTTCGGGAGGTGGAGGAGAAAGAAGGAGGAAGATTATGATGCTGATGGAGGAGGGAGGAGGAGGGGGGAGGAGGGTGAGGAGGATGACGTGGACGATGATGCTGCTGCTGATGATGATGATGATAATGATGCTGATGCTGATGCTGATGCTGATGCTGATGCTGATGCTGCTGATGATGATGACGAGGAGGAGGAGGTGGAGGAGGAGGAGGAGGAGGAGGAGGTGGAGGAGGAGGAGCAGAAGGAGCAGACGCGGAGGAAGAGCATGGAGAGTACCACAGTAATTCCAGGATTCACCAGTGATGTTGCAATGCACCCTCCCGTCCCAAGTTCGCTGCTCAGAATTCCCTGCACACATGCCTTTTCAGCATGGGAATCGCCTCCTTGAAGGACCAGCGCCCCATGGGCGTGCCATTGAAGCGAGAGCCTTGTTTCTAGCAGGACCTGCCTTGCATCCTGGTGGCCGCAAGAATTGCCAGGAGGCAGCACGGTAAAGCCGAAGGACGTGTCCAGCGAGGGCAGAAGAGAGCTGCGGCACAGTGTCTGGTCTCTCGTCCCAGGATCGAAGAGGCACCGCGCCTGGTCCCGCCGACCCCGAAAAGACAATGGCTTGGGCGCATGAGGCGGAACGGGGCACTGGAGCACGTGCCAGTGGCGGCTTTAGTTCGAGGGTACGGATATCGAAGACGCCTCCAGCGAGTGAACGCTGCCCCCTACCTTTTGGAGACGCCCGCGTTGTGAAATGTAGGCCAGAACCGGAAGTTCCGCCACCCCAGCGGAAAGTGTGTTGCCCCATTTGTGTTGGGGGAACCGCAGGGGGAGCACTGCGGAAGGGCTTTCGGGGGCAGGCTGGTTTTGGGCTCTTGCTGGGCCTGGTGCCCTCTTAGGCCGTCTTGTGGGTCTGTTGGGCTCTCGTAAGGCCCCACCTACGGTTTCAGTGGCCACGACCGCGTGGCTGCACCGCGTCTATGACGGCACAAACCTCAAGAGGATCATGGCCCTATGGGTGACCCCCTGGTTGAGGAGCTCCACCCACGGTCTCAATGGCCGACCCCGCATGGCAGCACCGCGCCGGCTTTCGCACACCTCTCATTGGCAGCCCCACCTGCAGTTTGAGTGGTCCCGACGATCTCTGCGCGAACGGGCCCGTGACAACTTCCTGGCCGGCCATGGATCCTGGGTTCCAAACAGGGGCACGTGTACCCCGTCAGGTCGGCCATCCTACCTAAGACGTTCGATGATCGGGGCACGAACGGGCCCGTGGTGCCCACCCGGTCGGCTCCCCCTTGGGAGGCCCAAGTGCGATGCCTGCCACGTCGCGACTATCCTGAGCCTTTGGACGTCTACCTCGCCAAAGTGGCCCGAGCCTGAGTGTTGCGATGATCCTGGGGTACCCTGTCAAGTCGGCTATGCTACTTGAGAAGCCTTAGCGGTGTGGGCACAGACGGGCCTGTCATACTCCCCCAGTCGGCTCCCCCACTGGGAGTGCCAAGTGCCATGTCTGCCACGTCGCGACTATCGAGAGCCCCTGGACGTCTACCCCGCCAATGCGGCCCGAGTCTGAGTGTCGCGATGATCCTGGGGTTTTGAACAGAGGCACGTGTACCCCGTCATCCTACCTAAGCAGTCCCGACTAGGTGGGCACGAACGGGCCCGTGGTACCTCGTCAGATCGGCCATCCTACTTGAGAAGTCCCGGCGATGCGGGCACGGACGGGCCCGTGATGCTCCCTTGGTCGGTTCCCTAATGGGAGACCCAACTGCCACATTCGCCACATCGAGATTATCCTGAGCCCCTGGACGTCTACCCCGCCAATGCTGCCCGAGCCCGAGTGCCGCGATAATCCTGGGATGCACTGTCAAGTCGGCCATGCTACTTGAGAAGCCCTAGCGATCTAGGTGCGGACGGGCCCGTCATGCTCCCCCAGTCGGCTCCCCCACCGGGAGGCCCAAGTGCCGTGTCTGTCACGTCGCGACTATCTTGAGCCTCTGGACGTCTACCCCGCCAAAGCGGCCCGAGCCTGCGTGTCGCGATGATCCTGGGGTTCTGAACAGGGGCGCGGGCGCGTCGCGGGCGGGTCGTGGGCGGGTCGCGGATGGGTCGCAGGTGGGTCGCGGGCGGGTCGCGAGCGGGTCGCGGGCTTGGTCGCGGGTGAGTCGCGGTCCGGGTCGCGAGTGGGACGACGGTAACAACAACGCAACGCAACGCAACGCAACGCAACGCAACGCAACGCAACGCAACGCAACGCAACGCAACACCAACCCGCAACATCAATCCGCGCCGCGGGGCCCCACTTCAGCCACGCACAGAGGAACAGTGAATGACCGTTCCCCCCCCTCGCTCTGATCACGAATATAAGGATCATGGTAACGAGGGGCTCCATGATAATATGGATGAGGGGCTTGATGAGGACGAGGTGGATGAGGATGCGAAGGAGAATATCGATGATGATGAAGGTGATGGTGACGGTGACGACGATGATCGCGATGATTGTGATGGTGGTGTTGATGGCGGCGACGACGACACCGACGACGGTGATGACGGCGATGAAAGTTACGACGACGACAACGACGACGATAATGACGATGAAGGTGACGACGACGAGGATGACGGCGGCGACGGCGACGATGACGATGATGATGATGATGATGATGATGATGATGATGATGATGATGATGATGATGATGATGATGATGATGATGATGATGATTACGATGATGTTGATGACGATGATGGCAGTGGTTGTGGTGGCGATGACGATAACGATGAAGATGACGGTGATGACAGTGCTGCTGCTGATGATGATGATGGTGATGCTGATGCTGATGATGATGATGGTGATGATGATGCTGCTGATGATGATGATGAGTGTGATTATGCTGATGATGATGATGATGATGATGATGATGATACTGATGCTGACGACGACGACCGATGATGCTGCTGATGATGATGACGATGATGCTGCTGCTGATGATACTGATGACTCTGATGATGCCGCTACGCGTGACGATGTTGATGATGATGACGATGCTGATGCTGACGATGCTGAATATGATGATGACAAGGAGATGATGATGGTGATGATGATGCTTATGATGATGACTAGGATGAGTCTGATGATGCTGATGATGATGCTGAGGATGCTGACGACGATGATACTTATGATTATGTTGATGATGATGATGATGATGATGATGATGACGACGATGATGATGATGATGATGATGATGATGATCATGATCATGATGATGCTGGTGATGATGGTGCTGATTCTGATGATGGTGACGCTGATGGTGATGCTGCTGATGATGATGGTGATGATGCTGATGCTGATGATGCTGATGCTGATGCTGCTGCTGATGATGATTAAACATATCATCATTCTTATTATGACTATTATTATTATTATCATGATGATCATTATGCTGTTGATGATGGTGATGGTGATGATTCTGATGATGGTGATGATGGTCATGATTGTGATAATGATATTGGTGATGATAGTGATGATGATCATGATGATGATGATGCTGCTGCTGCTGATGATGATGATGATGATGATGGTGATGATGACGATGATGATGATGATTCATGATGATGATGATGATGATGATGATGATGATGATGATGATGATGATGATGATGCTGCTGCTGCTGCTGCTGCTGCTGCTGCTGCTGTTGTTGTTGTTGTTGCTGCTGTTGTTGTTGTTGTTGTTGTTGTTGTTGTTGTTGTTGTTGTTGTTGTTGTTGTTGTTGTTGTTGTTGTTGTTGATTATGACGATGATGGTGATCATGATGAGGTTTATTTGTGGTGGTGATACTGACTTGTATGTTGGTGTTGGTGTTGGTGATGATGCTCATAGTGACGGTGATTATGACGTTCGCGCCAGGTGGCTCGTCTGGCTGAGGCGGCGCCCTCAGCGGTATGGACCTGCCTCCCGTGCCCGAGTCCTGGTGCAGCAGTCCTCCCGCGGTACGTCACCCGCCTGGGACGTGAGCCTCCGTGGACCCCCCGCGCGCCGCGTAATCCCTGGGCGACCTGGTTTTGCCAACGCGGCTCCTCCTCCGCTCCCCACCCCCGCTCGCCCTCGGGCTCCTCCGCCTCTCCCGCCTCCTCCGTCTCTTCCTGCGTCTCCTCCTCCGTCTCCTCTTCCGTCTCCTCTGCCTTCTTCCCGCTTCTCCTTCCAGTCCTCGCCCAGTCATCCTCGTTCTCGCCTCCCCCCCCTCTCCTCCTCATCAGCCTTCTCCTCTCACCTCCTCCCTCTCCCGCCTCCCACTCCTCTCCCTCCTCGCCCTCCTTCCCCCCCCTCTCTGCCGTGGGCGCCGCTTCCGGTGCCGACGCTGCTGCGCGGCGTGGATGGAAAACGGTGTTCAGGCTAGGACGAATAGCGAACGAGGGTGATTGATGTCGGTGGGGCGTGAGCTTGATGAGATGGTCAAGAGGCACATTGTGAGGGTGAGGAAGGGGTGATGGGGGGGACACGAGAGCAGGCATGAGGCATGCGGGGGGGGAACATACTGATGAGGATAAGCGTGGGGATGGGGGTTAGAGGTCGGCGAAGCCGATAA